TGCGATTATATGGGTCAGGCAGCCTTTGGGGCCAGCTTAGATCACGTTTTGGTCAAGGTCAGGTCAAGGTCAGGTCAAATCAGGTCAAATTTCAAAGTTAATATTTTTGCATAAAATGGGTATCGAATCGATGCAGCTCGTCACGGGGAGTTCAATGGTGGTCTTTGTTTTGCCGTACGTGGTCTAGAATTGCTAAAAATTGAGTTCAAAAATTTGACGTCATCATTTTTGAACAGTTTTTTCGCTATAACTTGGCCAAAAAACGAGATATCGATCTGAAATTTGGTATGTATATAAAAGAGCGCTGGGACTATCACATATTTTCCGGTTTTTTTCGAAATTCGGAAAATTTTTGGATTTTTTCAAAGTTTTTCTAAAAAAATCATTTTTTGAATTTTTTGGTCAAAAACCAAAAATTTTGAACATCCGAGATAGCAGTTTTGTAGCGCCGTTTTTTGTCTACTAGACCATATAAAGAACTTTGAAATTGCTTGATAACTGTAGATTTCGTGAGCGTTTCAAGATTGCATGTTTTTTGCTCATTTTTGCTCGAACATGACCTCAGTTTGACCTCAATAACTCCTGACCTAAGGTGACCTAAGACTTGAAATTTGGTGTGAAGGTGTCAAATTGATGCCCGGGAAGGTACTGAAAATTTGGCGGCGCGCGGCGCTGCGCGCCGCCGTTTTCTTGCTATTCAGGAAAAACCACAGGGGGGCCAAAATGGCCCCCCCCAACGGGGCGAGGGTTAACCTGACCAAAAAATTGACCGAAGTGATTTCGTCATTATTTTTGACGCTCTTTCGAACGCCGTCTTCCGCGTATCGCTACGTGGCCCAGGAGCCGAGTTACAAGGGGGGGTTTCAAACACCCCCCCCCCCAGCAGGGCGTGGAAATCCAGGACCCCCAGCCGGGCGCGGGTTAAGCGACGCCGAGAATCCCGGTATACTGTTATCAAAATTGCGCTTGGAGTGAAACTCACAAGTGTTATTTCCTCTTATGTGACTTAACTCTGTTCCAGAAACAAACCGATTGCCAGCCACTTATGACGATTTTGAACAGTAAGACACTGGATATTATAGAAAATCCTAACCTTCAGAGCACCAGCTTCGGATGAAGATTGGAGACACTGGCCCCTTCGCCGCTAGTTGGATCGGCAACACAGGTGTGTACTGTGTATTGCCATCACTGCCGAGCTCGACGTAAACGACACCGACGCTCGACTAGAAGAGGCACCTGTTGCTGCTCAGTACGACCCTGACTGCCAACTTTTGACAAACGCTGTCGAAAAGGGGTACGCTGGCCAACTCGTGAATACTGACCTGCACGTGATAAAATGACCGTCTGTCACTCGTTCATCGATGCAGCCCTGTTGTGTGAGAGATGTCATCTTGCCATCCTATAGGCGCTCAGAACTGGGAGTGGGAATGGCACAAATTATTTGAGAAATGAGTCAGATTGAATTATCTTGCTTTAGTGATGGACAGGTGTTGACTCAAACCCACTGGTAACTGGGATGATGCTTTACATTTTGGACAGGTAATGCCAGAGGATTTTACTTGGGACATCATGTCAACAATCAGCATCCTGGTGCTCACAACTTCACAGTCTCCAGAAAACTGCAGTATTTAACCAGGGTCCATCTAGCATTTGCTCCAGTGCCTGGCACCTGCCTTTAAGACTGATTAAGACTGAATGTGAATCACCAGCATTTTCCAGTGGGAGGGGAGATATGAGTGTTATTTTGCAGTTCACCTTATGCCTGACTCAGTTTACCCAGTGCCCATGATTCTAGTAGCTCAGCCAGCCAGATACTTTACTACATATAGGGTTGCTGTGCAGGGTGGCTGGCTTTGCAGCAAGGATTTGAGCATGGGACAAAATCACTAGATGTTGATGCAGTGCAACATTTTGCTTTTTTGTCTTGCACCAGAATAAAGCTTAACAAACTAGTGGGGTCTTGAGCAAGCAACTGCAACAGAAAGTATTAACAAAAGAAATAAGCATTCATGGCTTGATGCATCCATGATGCATGTCATGCAATTATTAAAAATGAAATATGCAATAGTTCTGCTTTCTAGACTTAAAGTGTGCATTATTGATTATGCCCAGAGGCGGATCCAGCTCAGAGGTTTGGGGGGGCAAACCATAAAAATTTATCGATTCTTTCCATGCATCGTCCATAGGCGTAATGTTAAAATCATGCCGTTTGGGGGGGGGGGGGCAAATGCCCATTTTGCCCCCCCCCCTGGATCCGCCACTGATTATGCCTATTACAGCAGTAAAAAACAAATGACCAATTTAACCTTGAATGCAACTGTTATTCTGGATAATTGATTGAATTAGCTAAGTACCTTCCTATTTATGTGCACTTTCTAGGAGTGTACAGGATTTGAAGTGAATATGGTTATCACACTGCCTATCAATTGAGCTGAAGCATCTGTAGTTCTCATCAGTATGCTATTTTTAACATGACTATCAGAAAATCCCTGCTTCAACTTGTAGGCAGAATTGCCACCATATGTAATCCTGGTACATGGTAGGTTGTAGGCATTAGGTTGAAGGTTCAATTAGTTTTGGTTTGGTTATAAAGAAGCATCTCTGGGTATAGCACCTCTCCTCGGTTGCAAAAACAAGAGTGACACCTGCTTTAACTACCCTTGATCTCCACAGCAGGCAATCATTATCTTTGGCAAAGGAGCTTCATTTGGCCTTTATTTCAATGTCAGTGTTGTCCTCTTGCTAATGCTCTGTTCATATTCCCCATATTCCCCTATGGTATTGCAGGAGCCCATGGCCTTGGCCTTGAGCCCATGTCACCAGTAGCCACCCAGTCTACCTTACCTTACCTTAGAAGTACACAGAATTTTCAGGCCAAGTCAAAGTGGCAGGACTGTTGGACCAGATCATTACTTTAAACTCGCTCTGTTTCTATTGATCGAAGACTGATGAATATTGGATATTGAATATTGGAATATTGGATATATATTCTTGCTCTTAGTTTTGTATTTAAATCAAAAATAAAGTAAAAAATAAATAATTAATAAATAAATGGCTGAAAAGAGACTGATGACTGATGGGTCATGCTCACCTGTTCCTACGCCCATGAGTAATTTCATATCATACCTGCCAAGCCAGCAGCCGCCAACCCCTATGCAGCTTGAGCTAGAAAACGAAAAAAGATACCAGTCGGGCACACTGTGGTATTTCCGATCCATTTATGGAAACGTTTCCATTTTTGGAACAATGTTCCAAAAATGGATACGCCGTTTCCAAAAATAGAAACGGTCCGTTCCATAAATGGAGACGCTGTGTAGCTCGCTACCTTTAAAGCAAACTGGGCATTGATTGGTGCAATTTGGCATGTGCAGGATGCCACCAATCGACAGCCAGCATTCTAGTTTATGTTCCTGATCTCCGACTTTCCGATCAGAAACCCGAAAGTTGACGAACGAGGCGATGCTTATAACATGTTGACGTGATAAAAAATTCACACGTTTTTCTAATCGAAAATAACAACATTTATGAATGTTTTGAACAAAAAATAACGTTTTTACCAGACTACTGAAAGACTGGCCCATTGATTGGAACAACCACATCACCGGGAACTTCAGTTTTTCATTCATTTTCACGCTGCATTTTCCGGTGTATCAGCGGCCTGGTGATCGTCAATCTTTGATTAAATCGCATAAAAGTTGTTGCAAAGCCCTATTTGGAGACTTAAGTGGGCATTTTATGATATTTCAAATGTGCTGAATATGATCGTAGGCTCAGATCAATGTAAATATCCGTGCAAGTACATAAAAAGCAGGATGGAAATAAGGTCTGCACCGTCGTCACTCCAAATACTGTTGTATTCTTACGATGAATTTATTCATTCTGGCTCATGTGTAACATTGATATCAATTTTATATATTGAAATGATATCTACGCTTTATGTATTGCCCACTTTGGATCACATCTGTCCAGTAGTTTCTGGGAAATCTTAGTTTTAGTTGACTTTTGAATGTAATAATACATTACATTACAGATACATTACAGATATCTGTATTATTAATACATTACAGATTTACATTACATAATAATTACATTACATAATACATTACAGATAATAATACATTACGCGGCGCGTAATGTATTATTATCGAACCCGACGTCCAAGGTAACTGCCGAGAGCCGAGATGCTAAACCAGTCCCAAAACATCAAATTTTTAGTTGCATGTGAATTTTAAAAACACATTTAAGCTAAGTTTGCACACATTTGAACTTCAGCGTTTCTATTTTTGGAACATCGGCGTTTCCATTTTTGGAAACTAAGTCTCCATAAATGGATACGATTCAGGAGCATTTTAAAGACGTGAATTTGAATGCATACGACAGCTTTCCATGCAAGAAGACAAGTGCTTTTGGTGTATCTGAGCTTGTTTTACGCAAAACAGTTGTTATACATCAAATCCAGCCACCCTTAGCAAGAAAATATGTACAGAGATGTTAGCGTTTCTATTTATGGAACGAGCGTTTCCATTTTTGGAACAGAAGAGTAGTCAAAATTGGAAACGTTTCCAATAATAGAAACGTCTCCATAAATGAATCGGAGATACCACAGTGCGCCCGACTGATACCAATATCACCATCAAAAATCAAACGAATGTTATCTCACCGCCCAGTGCCATTACTTTTTTAGTGGCCTCAAACTACGCGGCTTGCTTGTTTACCCGCGTAGGGTGTTCTTCGATGTGGGCGGGCGAGCGAACCAAAACAATGGAATGATATAGATTGGGAAAGGTAAAACAAAGTTTTGCGATCTAAATAATTTCAATGGGTTTTAAAAAACAATTTAAATGTCCAAGACTACTTCTTTTTCCAAAATGAACGTGAAAAAATATGTTAATGCTGATTACATGAGTCGGGAACTGCCGGACTGTAATAAAAGAACACAAAGACTTGTCGTCAGAAATGGCGCAGGTGTTTCGTAATTGGAGCGCAGTCAGCTGAATTCAATTTGAAGAATCCAAATTCAAAACGGCTAGCCGGAAGAGAGTGGAGGGTGTGTGCGTGGTTGTGGGCGATTTTTAGTGTAATGGGGGTAACTTCCTTTAAGGTAATGTGCTATTTATTTTATTCCATTACTGACAAATGTTAGGACATTTCTTTACGCGCATGTATGAAAAACTGGAATGAGAATGGACCCGCGAATCATCAATGGTCATCCGGGCAACCAAAACTAAAAGTTTGAGTTGAAGTCAGAATCTGGATTCGGATTCTGCAATCGAAACCGTCTTTAATGTCTGTCTTCTAATTTTGTAATTGCTTTTGGTATGTTCTTAAAATTGTGTATGTGTCTGTGCCTACTCTTATCATTTCAGTCGGGGAAACTGTGGTCAAATCTTCCATTTTTAGAAAGCCTTCCATTTTTGGAAGGATTTTCTATATATGGGTACGCACCTTCCAAAAATGGGTACGCTGACGACGTCATCGTACCCAAATATAGAAAATGTTGCGCATATGTTGGAACTTACCGATTTCCGCCGAACATGAGGCAAATGCGACTATCGCCCCTGGTCGCTTTCTATTCGCCATAGTGAAGTGTCCATAATCTAGCGTGGATGCCTAAATCCTAGCGTGGATGTATTTTAGGTAATTTTTCAAAGTAATGAGTCGTGGAAAATTGACAAAAATTTACCGACAAACGATGGTTTTATAAGACTTTATCAAACATTTTGTAAGCAAAAAGCATCAAAAACGAAAAGTAAATATCCTTAAAAGTACTTTAGTGACGGGCCATGCTTGTTCGATACCGCCGACTTTATTTACAGTGCGGAATTGTCTGGACAGAGTGCGGCGGTTTCGGGAGTGTAGTGGCGAGTAAAACTTGTATTTGTTGCCGTTTTCTGCATTTATTAGCATATTGTGTGGTTGATTTCAATTTTTTAAGGCTTTTGCCAAACATTTGGGTGGAGGTCTCATCATTTTTCAATGTTTTTTTCCGGAATATGGGACGAATTAAATAGGCGTTGCTGCGCCGTTTTTCGTGTTACTTTCTATCGAAGGAGCATGAATCTTCAATTTATATGAGGAATAGTAAGTTTAATTTAAACCATTTTTTGTCAGGGCTATAGCTGTGTTCCTCCTGGTTGGTTATTGACCAGCTGTTTTCTCTTCTGAATTTCTATGTGTCCTCTAGAAGTAGAAAAAGAGAGCAGTGCGCCAGGACACCATGCTATTATATCACTATGTACATTGACATAGCATGCCTGTATTACCAACACTAGCACTGCTGCTTCTCCTTATATCAATGATCATAAATGGCAAAATCAACTATTAATGTTACACATTTAAAAAGGCCGTAACTTAAATCAAAGAATGTGAATCACAGTTGGGAACACTGAGATTAGACCTTCCAATTTTGGAAGCCTTCCATTTTTGGAAAATGCATACCCATTTATGGAAGGTCCTTCCAAAAATGGAAGGCTTCCAAAAATGGAAGGCTTCCAAAAATAGAAGATTTGACCACAGTTTCCCCCACTGATTTCAGTTGGGCAAACTAGACCTTTGGAATCAAAATATGGAGGCATCAAAAGATTGATTCCTTATGACCATATTTGGACATAAATGCAGACCATTTCTAACTCACCAATCACATAAAAATAAGAGAGTGTTTCAAGAAGGAAAATGCCTGATCTTGAACAGAAATGCTGGAACTATCTCCTAAGCAAAATAATATTGCTCCTATCATAACAATTTGAATTCTATAGGTAGTGAAAGGCAATCAAGGAATTGATTCACTTTAAACAGATAATCATAATATTGATTCCCCATCAGCTGGCTTATCATTATTTTGATTCACAGGTAATGTTAACAGATAGGCAACAATGACTTGCAGGGATACAGCATTTATCTTGCTATTATTCTCATTTAGTGGTATCCTCAGCACCATAACAGATACCTATAGCATTGTTGTACTTTACCTTCACTACATTTGATAACAATTCACAATTTTTAAATGTCAAGAATACAAAAACTGAAGCAACAGATAAAAACCATATAATAAATATAAAAGCGCTACAACAATGATAATTAGGGGTTTGAAAATTTCATTTTGCCATTTTACACAAATACTGATTGTTTAGTATGCAATGCATGATACAAAAATAACATACAGTGTGATTTCCTCAAAACAGCTTTTACGTGATGGACAGTGGCTCTGTCTTTTCCCCATTCACAAGGCCAAAGGGACAATATCTTAGTTTTGAGGTAACACTTTTTGCAAACCTTCCACATTTTTCTACCTTTTTAAAGAAAAATCTCACCGTCATGGGCCTTTTTTCAACCGTAACGATACATTTGAAGTCAAAAGTGTACCCAAATGAATCAAAAAATTGATTCCATGCCCATATTTGGTCATGGCTCCTCCCACCAGAATCAAATTATTGATGCCTCCATATTTTGATTCCAAAAGTCCAGTTTGCCCAACTGATTTGTGTTAGTTTTCTGAGTTGATTGAAGGGATGAAATGCATTTATGTTGATGGATCATTGGCTGACTGATGACTAAGAAAACTTTCAACTCAAACTTGGGCTTTTGCTTTTCATTAGCATTGCTCCAGGGTCCCGATTGTGATTGTAGGTTTCGATGCTGGTGTAGTGTTCTATAGGTACAAGGCACCATTAGGAATGCATTTTTTGTACCTAAGTTTTGATCATGGAAAGTACAGGAGGTCTACAAAATAAGTCCAGTCCGCAAGCAGGCAGTTGGAACAGAACAGGAGCAGTGCTTGGGTGATACCTGCCAACTGGTGGTGGGGACTTATCTGTAGACTGACTGTACATTTAAGTCACTGTAAGTGTGAAGCTATGTGATTTTCATCACATTCACATCACTGCTGATAATGGTAATGTGTGAATATGGCAATTCTTCACTGTTACAATTCAATTTTGATTTGAGCAAATTAAACCTGTTTGATCATTTGACATGCATAGACCATTTTTTCTTTGTTACAGCTTTTTACTTAGGAATTCAAGGCAAATACAGCCAACAGGTGCATTGTAAGCACAGCTACAGCACCATGAATCGTGTTGAGGATCTGGTTTTACAATGGGTAAGTAGAATTTGCATGATCAACTCAGCCAGGGCCCAACAAGGCCACTGCCAACATTCCCTTCTTTTTCTTATATCTCAATCTGCTAACAGTTAGTAATTGATTTATTTTTCATAAGTAGATATTTTTAATTTTAAGTTGCATTGAACTGTTGATAATCATTATCAGTTCATGTATCAGAATGGTATTCTCATGTCTTGCCTTTTCACATGTCTTTCTGTCTCTTTGATTGCATGACAATGAGAAGAGCATGGCTATGCTTGTGGATTTTTTCATGAAATACATTGTGATTGCAGTTGCTGATATGAGTGTTTGAGCATTCACTGTTTATGTCTTTCATGCTGGTATCTCTCAGCTTGGCTATCTTTTCAAATACCTGTATTAATATTTTCTTAATTTTGTTTGACCTGAATCAGAAAGTTATGTCAAAGATTGTCTGATGAGTTGTTTATCCTATTCCTTTCTAACGAACCTAATCTATGTTATTTCTGGGAGAACCTATAATCATTACTCAAAACACACTGATATATGTGGTCATAAATCCTCTTTCTTTGATTAGTACTGGGATATAAGCTGCTGTTTCTGATTTTGTTGCTATAAGGTGTGTGTTTGAGGTGTGCAGTTGCTATGACAATGCTTGTTTCAGGTGAATGTCCACAAGCTAGAAACTCCGGCGAAAAGTCTACGGGAGCTGCTGGAGCCCAGTGTGGCCCATATCATTCTCAAGCCTTTGTGAGTATCTCCGTTATACATTGGTGCATTCGTTTCTGTATTCCTGTTAACTTTTAAGCAAACAGTTTTTTATATTATCATGTCAGTTTATTTCTCCCTCGTTCTCAGTTGTTCATTCTTTGATTTCCTGTCTGCGGTATCGTCTCTGATCGTGCTGACAGAGTCATGTGTAACGTATTCCGTATCTCGATAGACGAAGACACGTTTGCTTTCAAATATGCATTGATTAGTTACTCTTGCTATTTGGGTAGCAGCAACCACAGCCGCCAGGGAGTCGGTAGATACGTTTTTTCGGGAGCTAACGGTCTCGCCTCTCGGTTGGTAGAGCATTGGACTTTCTGTGATAAAATTACAGGTTTAGTCGTTCCAAAGTTCGATTGACGAGATACGGTGCTTCCCTACTGAATTAGTATGCGTTTGGTGGGAGGAGCTGCCGCCAGTGAGTGGGATGATAGTGCGATAAACTTATTTACCCACGCTGGACCGCAGGAGGTGTGTTAACCCGCGCCCCGCTGGGGGTCCCGGATTTCCGCGCACTGCTGGGGGGGGGGGGTGAACACCCCCTTCTAAATCGGCTCCTGGGACACTTAGCGATACGGAGAAGGCGGCGTTCGAAAGAGCGTCAAGAATAATGACGAAATTACTTCGGTCACCTTTGTTCAGGTCACCAGAGGTCATTGGAGGCCAAATTTCACCGATTTTCAGGTCGAATGTCGGCAATTTGCAACAAGCCAAAGCATAACTTGGAAACTAATAGAGCTAGAGCGCCTCGGAAAAGCGCATTTGATAGTCCTAGACACTCTTTCTGAGTATTTTCTGAGATTTGACCTAACGTCAACGGTTGTGCCTGCAGGGAGCAAAAACTACCAAGTTATGCGATTTTTTCGGAAACAGTTTTTCTGCAATAACTTTTGACTCAAACCTTGCATGAGCTTACTTTTAACGGCATGGTGTTCCTCTCGTCAAGGCGCATGGAATGAACCATAATTTAACCTTGAAAGGTCAACTTCAAAATTTGACCTCGGATCAAGGTCATGGCCCGACCGGAAAGAGTCATCTTGCGTATTTGTTGATTTTTATCGTCGAGCTGAACACATCTAAAGCGCTTTCATCGCTCTAGCATGTCCCTATCAAAAGTTATTCGCGGAAAACGGTTGTATACCTTTGGTAACCTGAGATGACCTCATGGGCATGAATAAGGGTCACGGGTGCCATTTTCGTGTTCAGTGTGTCATAGTTACCTACTTGTAATTCAGTGTTTAAGAGTGGTTAAAATAAAATGACGTTCGTCTAAAAGAGGCGCCTTTCAATTTCCTCCCATCGACTTAAAATGGGGGGGGGGGGTCGAAAAGTAAATTGACCTGATCTTAGGTCACCGATATCAAAATTCTGGGATGAACATTCTGTACATACTGTTGCTCCTATCAATCGCTGGAAGTTTCAAACCGATCGATCACTCGGTGTAGCTATGACGAGCACTAGAACTTGTTCTGAAGTAAGGTCACTTGACGTGAGCTGGTGGGCTGGGTCTGAATTTTTTCAATGTGCGAAAAAGATGCATGAACGGCTGCGCCAAAAAGGGCAGCGCTCCGCGTCGATATTTGTGGAAAGCCGCAAAAGGGTGTCCCACCGTCGTTCCCTGGCCCGGCGCAAGTAGCCATTCAACTCTTCGCGATTCAGTCTCTAGTTGCCTGATATGCCGGACAGGATTGGGTTCGGCGCAGCGAGCTCTGTTTTGGTGGTCCAAAAGGACATATCTGCCCAATCACTGGAGGCTCCCTTTTCATGTTCAGGCTACGCAATTGCGAGAACGTACATAGTACATACCTACTTCGCTTCTGGTGGCGCACCTGGGGATGACAGTCTGCGGACCGGGGCACGGGGGAATCAGAAACCGAACCCTGGTCCTTCAGACACCCGAACAAACGTCTTAACCCTTATCAGCCTCACCACTAGGCTTATCATGGGCTCTGGGGCTGTAAATCTGCCTTTTTCAGTACTTGGGCTAGATGTATATGAAAATATTGCACTGTTTTAGTTTTCGTGTAGCATTGCCCAAGCTTGGAATATTCCTATAATTTGTGTACGTTGAGGTTGGGGTGAGGCGCTTCGGTAGAGTCATTTTTCTTGGACTCTTGGACATTGATCATCAAGTACCACGCATAAAAATATATATTGTTAAAGTTTTGTGTTTATTACCGAACAAATATCCATGTTAAAGTGAGCGCGTGGTCTGTTCTTGTTCACAGTAACCTCAACTTCTGCACTGATGATGGCCATATCGTGGCAACGCTGGAGAAGTTCATCAATGGTCAGTGCTGCTCAGATTGTTGTTAGATAGCAAATGCGGGGATTTCAGTATTTGCATGCTTTGCGTAGTTTTATAATGCTCAACACAAATGATTTCACGTCGGTGTGCTTCGATGAACTTGGTGACGTTTTACCATTCAAGCTTATCAAACCATTCAAAGCCTTTTTGTTTGTATTTCACCGCTAATTTCCTGCTAATCACCTGCTAATTCAAACTTAAGGCATTTATTCTCAGATAGAGGGTGCCTGGGTTTGTGGTCTAGATGTTTACCAATTCGCGCAGCGGCACAATTCTACTCACCAGCTGACTTCCTCACTGAATTTCGCCGCCTCAGGCCGGTTTCCGAAGCAGCCGATCAACTTTGTGCGCGTGCGCGCCGGTCAGCAGGACGAACTGCTGCGGCTCGGTGTTGTGCTGCTCTATCTGTCCTGTGTGCAGACGCGCAACCCTGGCCTCCAGCAGCGGCTCACCAAACTGCCCAACGCCGTACAGGTACGGGCGGGAGGCGACTGGCGCTTCCTCGACGGGCGCCGGAGCGGGGTGGCGGGATTAACTGCCAGGCGGGTGTTGGATAGGGGTTTAAATATGTGTGCAGACCTGACGGTGGATTGTTTCGGGAACTGGACTGTTGATATGCGACTTCGCCCCGTAATCCCGCCATCTGACCTCGTTTGTGACCCCGCCAGCTGACTCCTCCCTGTGACTGTGATCCCTCCCCGTGATCTGTCATCCCTTCTGGACCATTCCAGGAGGGTATGCGTTTCGTGTTCGAGCGGCTGATGAAGCGCGGGCAGGTGTCCCGTGACGACGTCACAGATGTCATCAACTCCGTCGGTACGCAGTGAAATTCCCTCGTACCTTAGCGAATGAGAGTAGATGTTGATGTATGTAATTAATTCCATTGATAAACAAGTAGTGCCATATGCACTGTTGGTTCCATTGACCTCTTCGGTAAATGTGGATTCGGTTACTTTTGGGTCGAACAATTTACTCCTTTTTGCTGTCTCGACACATGTTTTATAGATATTCACTTAATCAAAACGATACAGCACTGCTGCCAAGGCATCCCTGCTCCCTCAAGCGATTTTACCAGCATAACCTGTCTATTCCGCGCTAAGCCCGTGCGCGAAGTGCCCCGCCGCTCACCGCTGCGTCCCCGGTGTGACACTGGTTGACCCCGGCAGCGGAGATGGTGCGACTACCCACCGAGGCACTGCGCCGCCTCACCGCCTCGCCCGTGTCGCCGGCGGCTCCTTCACCGACGCTCTACTCTTACTCGCCGGGAAAGTCGCCCCTGCAGGCTATGTTCGATGTGAGTACTGCTGCTGGAGCCGCGGAGACTCCTGCGAACATTGTCGGTTGTGGACGCTGAATTTAGCAAAGTGATTGTCCGATGGTGCGGACCATTTTTATATATCATTTGCTCGTTTGTGATATTGGGTAGTTTTGAATGTTGTAGGGGAGTCGGTCTACGTTCTTTGATTGCTGATGAAGCATTGAGCTGTGTGTATGTTTTCTATTGGAAATATAATTTGAAATTCAGCAAATTATGGCGACGTTATTCGTTGACGAAGTGGTTACCTGCAATAAACCACGTAACTTCCAGTAATGCCGGCTTGCCTTGTTGAATCATCAACTTTGGAACGACCCAAGTACGTTTTGTTAAATAAAATATATGAAATGCATGGTAATGCTGTAATTGAAACTTTTCTCGCGCTAAAATGTAATTTTGGAAACACTCGCTGACGCTGTCCGACCGTCATGCTAGCACCCATCCCTCTGTCCTTGTGTCAGCTGACCTCTCCCCTCTGTCCGTACTGATCCTCTCTCTCTCTCTCTCTCTCTCTCTCTCTCTCTCTCTCTCTCTCTCTCTCTCTCTCTCTCTCTCTCTCTCTCTCTCTCTCTCTCTCTCTCTCTCTCTCTCTCTCTCTCTCTCTCTCTCTCTCTCTCTCTCTCTCTCTCTCTCTCTCTCTCTCTCTCTCTCTCTCTCTCTCTCTCTCTCTCTCTCTCTCTCTCTCTCTCATTCTCCCTCTCCCTCTCCCTCTCCCTCTCTCTCTCCCTCTCCCTCTCCCCTCTGTCCGTACTGACCTCTCTCTCTCTCTCTCTCTCTCTCTCTCTCTCTCTCTCTCTCTCTCTCTCTCTCTCTCTCTCTCTCTCTCTCTCCGTGCTGACCTCTCCTCTCTGTCGGTGCCGCCAGTCGCCCGTGCTGCAGGAGGTGATCCGCCTGAGCCGTGCGCTCGACACCTCCGAGAAGGAAGTGATAGCGCTGCGAGAGGCCAAGGCTCGCGCCGAGGACGAGACGGCCGAGGCACGCCTGGAGGCCGAACAGTACGCTCAACGCGTCGCCGACCAGCGTAAGTCTCCAGAGAGGAGTCTTCCGTCAGGACGCGGGGCTGGACTCACTGGTGGCTTGGTTTTAGGACCGGACTACAGTCAGCTGCGGTGGTTTTAGCACCAGATCTGGCCCGTCACCGTTACAAAACGACATTGCTGCGCGTTTGCTGACTGTTTCCCTCATGGCTGCTCTTTCCCTTGGCATCTGGAAGGAGACTGATGTTGTGTGCTGTTCTCCAGGGTCAAAGTCTGAGCAGCTGCGGGAGCGGCTCGATGAGAAGCGTCAGGAGATTGCCGAGCTCCAGGCTAAACTGGGCGACCACGGCCAGGTGCCGCTGACGGAGGAGCACCGGCGCCGACTCCGAGAGCACAAGGTGAGCCCCGCGGACGGGATTGGGGGGGGGAGGGGTGGGGAACGCTCTTACTGGGGAGGTTCCGCGGGCGTTTCCTCAAGGGAATGAGTTGATTTTATCGTATCGTTTTGAATTTATCGTTTTTATCGTATTTATCGGAGTAGCAGTGTCATGTATAATTTGTATATCTTGTCGTTTGATGTATACCGACTGTAGTTTCACGATGCTCGTAGCACACATGCATGAGCACCCGAATCAGTTTTCACCACTGACCACCGAATGCCCAGGCAGTATTTCGGTATCTGAGTGTTTTGCCCATAGAATCAGTTGCAATACGAATTACGAATACTGATACAATGTGCGGGGCCGTGGCTGAACTATTCGTTTTTTTCAGTCACTGCTGAAGGAGAATGAACAGCTCCGATGTCAACTGTTGGACGCGACCACTGAACGGGACGACTTCAGCGCAAAGGTGAGCTCAACTAACGGCTGAATACCAGGGGATTTATAGTGGTTGAACAGTGAAATTTCGGGTCATAAGTTACCTCGATGTGTTGCTGTGTAGATCATTAACATGAATTTCTTCAGAATAATTGATTGGGTTATTGGATGTTGTTCAATTGGTATTTTCCTTAACGGTATTAAGTAGACACAGTCCGTCCGCCGTGCCATGACCGGCGACATTCCGTGTTCCCTGTGTGGTCTCCAGTCCCTGACTATCACTCCCCTCTCGGTCAGCTGGAGCGGGTGCGCGCCACCCAGCAGCGCTCTGTGCAGGAGACGCTGGCGCTGCAGCGCGCTCTGGCCGCCGCCGAGGTCAGCCAGGTGCAGCTGGTCGAACAGAACGACTCACTGACGGGCCGGCTGACGCAGCTGGAACACGAGCTGCTCATCAGCAGCCAGATGATCCATGATCTGCAGGCGCGCCCGACCAGTGACGAATGTGAGTGGGGCGAGCAGTGTGACGACTGTGAGTGTGAGGAGTGGCCGTCCCACCTGGGGCTGGCGGGCGGCCAGTGGGATGGACAGAGACGAAGTGGGATGTCGGTGGGATGTGGGCGACCAGGTGGGATGCTGGTGGGGCGGGAAGACTGAGGACCAAACGAGATGCCATGCATGATGGGATTGTGCCGTGCTGAGGGCGCGGCCTTCTTAGGTACGGCTGCATACTGAAATCGGTCGGTAGCAGTAGACGAACGGTAGTGACGATGTCGATATTAACCTGCGTCCCGCTGGGGGTTCTGGATTTCCACGCCCACGTTTGCTTGTTTTTTTTTTTTTTGTATTCTCGTTGTCACGAATGGGGGTCTACGATGTATTGCAGATGGCTGATCGGCTGATCTGACGAATTTTTCTCACTCTGTTAGCTAATTACGGAGCGAGCGAAGCGAGCGGAGTCTTTCCTTAGATTACCGGAAATTTCTGAGTATGAGCGGCCGGCCGGCCGTGCGGCCGTGCGGACGCTTTTGCGAGGCTTATATCTCAGCAACCCCTTGACCGATTTATATGCGGTAAATTTTGTAGGGTAGCTTCATTCCTTCTACCAAGTACTGGACTATTCCCGATGCATGTGGGTGACCCCTTATGCACGTGCCACGTGCAAAACGAAGAGGTGTCAGTTTTGTAATTGTTGCAATATCTCGGTAACTACTTGGCCGATTGCGCTGAAAGTTGGCATGTAGGTAGGCACCCACTAGGCACTGCATATCCATGTGCCAGAGTTGGGTTGCTTCTGCACGTGCGCACGTGACCGGTTACCGGGGACCGGTTAGTAGGGTGCCGTGCAAAAGTCAGTCGGGACCCATTTTGCACGTGCGCACGTGCAGGGTGCCGCTTCCAGATCTGGAGAACGGCTGGGCCGATTGTGCTCAAATTTGGCACATCGCTAGAAACCGGTCAGTAGGGTGCCGTGCACAAGTCAGTTGGAGGTACCCCCTCGAAATTTCGCACGTGCAAGGCCCACCTTCTCGCTCGCTCCGTTAGTCGCCCCAAAAGGCGCTGTACTGGTTTTTAGTGTGCCGAGTAGTTCAGAATTTTTTAAAGACAGTATAATCTAGCTAAGTGCGTTATTCCGTCGCTCTTTCGTATTTTTACGAGCTTTGTTGTCTCTTTTTAAGCTATTCAAGTATTAAAACGGAGAACTGCTTTTGAGTGCTTACTGCGTTTGGCGCTTTCCAGCCCTCTGACCTGTCCACGGCACTGTCTGTCGGCAGCAATGGACCAGTCGCTTCCCAGCCCGGCCGGCCCGGCCGCCGGAAACCTGGCTGCCGAGCTGGCGGTGGCTGAGAACGCCGACCTGCGGACACAGGCCGAACAGCTGGACCGGGAGCTGCGCGCGGCGCGCACCCAGACCCAGCAGCTGCAGGAGGCCGCCGAAAAACAGCAGGAGGCGCTGCGCACAGCGCGCGCAGAAACCCGCGAGATCCAGACGCTACTCACGAGTGCCAAGTCTGAAGCTGATTCTGCCCTGGAAGAGAAGGACAAAACTATCGAGAACCTTCAGACCCTGCTTCAAAGTGCCAAGGCTGAGGCTCATTCTGCTCTGGAGCAGAAGGAAGAGAGCATCAAGAACGTTCAGGATGCTTTGGAAAAGGCCGAGTATGAGCTACAGTGTGCGCACCAACAAAGGGAAGAAGCCGTGCAGACACTCCAGCTGTCTCTTCAGAGTGCCAAAGCTGAGTTCGAATCTGTCCTTGAGGAGAAGAAAAACATCATTCAGAACTTTGAGACCTCCCTGGAGTGTGCCAAGGCCGAGGCTCGGTCTGCCCTCGAACAGAAGGAACAGGTCATTCAGGATCTTCAGACTCGCCTCCAGAGTTCCCAGGCCGAGGCTCATTCTGCGATCGAGCAGAAAGGAGAGGAAATCCGAGCTCTCCAAAGCTCACTGGAGTGCGCCAAGGCCGAGGCTCAGTCCGTTCTTGCTCTGAAGGAGGAGACGATCCAGAAGCTTCAGGTCATACTGGATAATGAAAAAGCTGAGGCCCTGTCTGCTCTCAAAGAGAAGGATGAGGCTGTTCGAAACCTTCAAACATTGCACCAGACCGCCATGGCTGAGGCTCACTCTGCCCTGGAGCAGAAGGAAGATAGTCTGAAGAACCTTCAGGTAGCATTGAAAGCTGCCCAGGACGACGCCCAGACTGTTCTCAAACAGAAGGAAGAGGCCATCAAGAATCTTGAAGCTGCACTACAGAGTATGGAGACTGAGACTCAGACTCTCCTTCAACGGAAAGAAAACGTCATCCAGGACCTTGAGACGTCCCTGAAGAACGCGAAGGCGGATGCTCAGTCCGCCCTGGAACAAAACGAAGAGGCAATCCGGAATCTCGAGTCCTCGCTCGAAAGTGCCAAGACTGAAAGTCAATCTGTTGCTGAGAAGAAGGAAGAGGCCATTCAGAATATGCAGACGTTACTAGAAAGTGTCAAGGCTGAAGCTCAGTCAGTTCTTGAAGAGAAAGAAAAGGCCATCAAGAACCTTGAAACCTTGCTCGAGAGGTCCCGCACTGAAGTTCAGTCTGCCGAAGAGCAGAAGGAGGAGGTCATCTGTAACCTGGAGGCAGCACTTGAGACTTCAAAGGCTGAGATTCAGTCCGTCCTGGAGAAGAAACAAGAGGCCGTCCAGGAGCTTCAAGCCAACCTGGAAAATGCCAAGATTGAGGCTCAATCTAACCTTGAGCAAAAGGAACAGGCTATCCAGAACCTCGTGACCTCACTGGAGAGTGCGAAGTCTGAGGCACAGTCTGCTCTTGAAGAAAAAGACAGGGCTATACAGAACCTTGAAACACTGCTGAAAACCTCCAATGCTGAAACCCATGCTGTCCTGGAGCAGAAAGAAGAGACGATCCGGAAGCTTCAGGTCACACTGGCTAACGAAAAAGCTGAGGCCCTGTCTGCTCTCAAAGAGAAGGATGAGGCTGTACGAAACCTTCAAGCATTGCACCAGACCGCCATGGCTGAGGCTCACTCTGTCCTAGAGCAGAAGGAAGAGAGCCTGAAAACCCTTCAGGTAGCATTGAAAGCTGCCCAGGACGACGCCCAGACTGTTCTCAAACAGAAGGAAGAGGCCATCAAGAATCTTGAAGCTGCACTACAGAGTATGGAGACTGAGACTCAGACTCTCCTTCAACGGAAAGAAAACGTCATCCAGGACCTTGAGACGTCCCTGAAGAACGCGAAGGCGGATGCTCAGTCCGCCCTGGAACAAAACGAAGAGACGATCCGGAATCTCGAGTCCTCGCTAGAAAGTGCTAAGACTGAAAGTCAATCTGTTGCTGAGAAGAAGGAAGAGGCCATTCAGAATATGCAGACGTTACTAGAAAGTGTCAAGGCTGAAGCTCAGTCAGTTCTTGAAGAGAAAGAAAAGGCCATCAAGAACCTCGAAACCTTGCTCGAGAGGTCCCGCACTGAAGCTCAGTCTGCCCAAGAGCAGAAGGAGGAGGTCATCCGTAACCTGGAGGCAGCACTTGAGACTTCAAAGGCTGAGATTCAGTCTGTCCTGGAGAAGAAGCAAGAGGCCGTCCAGGAGCTTCAAGCCAGCCTGGAAAATGCCAAGATTGAGGCTCAATCTAACCTTGAGCAAAAGGAACAGGCTATCCAGAACCTCGTGACCTCACTGGAGAGTGCGAAGTCTGAGGCACAGTCTGCTCTTGAAGAAAAAGATGGGGCTATACAGAACCTTGAAACACTGCTGAAAACCTCCGATGCTGAAACCCATGCTGCCCTCGAGCAGAAAGAAGAGACGATCCAGAAGCTTCAGGCTACACTGGATAATGAAAAAGCTGAGGCTCTGACTGTTCTAAAAGAGAAGGATGAGGCGCTTCGAAACCTTCAAGCATTGCACCAGACCGCCATGGCTGAGGCTCACTCTGCCCTGGAGCAGAAGGAAGAGAGTCTGAAGAACCTTCAGGTAGCATTGAAAGCTGCCCAGGACGACGCCCAGTCTGTTCTCAAACAGAAGGAAGAGGTCATCGGGAATCTTGAAGCTGCACAACAGAGTATGGAGACTCAGACTCAGACTCTCCTTCAACGGAAAGAAAACGTCATCCAGGACCTTGAGACGTCCCTGAAGAACGCGAAGGCGGATGCTCAGTCCGCCCTGGAACAAAACGAAGAGACGATCCGGAATCTCGAGTCCTCGCTAGAAAGTGCTAAGACTGAAAGTCAATCTGTTGCTGAGAAGAAGGAAGAGGCCATTCAGAATATGCAGACGTTACTAGAAAGTGTCAAGGCTGAAGCTCAGTCAGTTCTTGAAGAGAAAGGAGAGGCCATTAAGAATCTGGAAACCTTGCTCGAGAGGTCCCGCACTGAAGCTCAGTCTGCCCAAGAGCAGAAGGAGGAGGTCATCCGTAACCTGGAGGCAGCACTTGAGACTTCAAAGGCTGAGATTCAGTCTGTCCTGGAGAAGAAGCAAGAGGCCGTCCAAGAGCTTCAAGCCAACCTGGAAAATGCCAAGATTGAGGCTCAATCTAACCTTGAGCAAAAGGAACAGGCTATCCAGAACCTCCTGGCCTCACTGGAGGGTGCGAAGTATGAGGCACAGTCTGCTCTTGAAGAAAAAGACAGGGCTATACAGAACCTCGAAACACTGCTGAAAACCTCCGATGCTGAAACCCATGCTGTCCTCGAGCAGAAAGAAGAGACGATCCAGAAGCTTCAGGCTACACTGGATAACGAAAAAACTGAGGCCCTGTCTGCTCTCAAAGAGAAGGATGAGGCCGTTCGAAACCTTCAAACATCGCACCAGACCGCCATGGCTGAGGCTCACTCTGTCCTAGAGCAGAAGGAAGAGAGCCTGAAAACCCTTCAGGTAGCATTGAAAGCTGCCCAGGACGACGCCCAGTCTGTTCTCAAACAGAAGGAAGAGGCCATCAAGAATCTTGAAGCTGCACTACAGAGTATGGAGACTGAGACTCAGACTCTCCTTCAACGGAAAGAAAACGTCATCCAGGACCTTGAGACGTCCCTGAAGAACGCGAAGGCGGATGCTCAGTCCGCCCTGGAACAAAACGAAGAGACAATCCGGAATCTCGAGTCCTCGCTCGAAAGTGCCAAGACTGAAAGTCAATCTGTTGCTGAGAAGAAGGAAGAGGCCATTCAGAATATGCAGACGTTACTAGAAAGTGTCAAGGCTGAAGCTCAGTCAGTTCTTGAAGAGAAAGAAAAGGCCATCAAGAACCTTGAAACCCGGCTGCTCGAGAGGTCCCGCACTGAAGCTCAGTCTGCCCAAGAGCAGAAGGAGGAGGCCATCCGGAACCTGGAGGCAGCACTTGAGACTTCAAAGGCTGAGATTCAGTCTGTCCTGGAGAAGAAGCAAGAGGCCGTCCAGGAACTTCAAGCCAGCTTGGAAAATGTCAGGGCTGATGCTCAGTCTGCTCTTAAGGAGAAGGAAGATGCCATACAGAACATGCAAGCCCTCCTCCAGAGTTCTAAGACTGAATCTCATTCTACCCTCGAACAGAAAGAAGAGGCCATCCGAAACCTTGAGGCCTCACTGCAGAGTGCCAAGGCCGAGATTCAGTCTATCCTGGAGACGAAGGAAGAAACTGTTCAAAGCCTAGAGACTTCTCTGAAGAGTGCGAAGGCAGATGCTCAATCTGCCATGGACCAGAAGGATGAGCAAATCGGACAGCTGCAGGCCTCTCTGGAAAGTGCTAAGACTGAGGCTCAGTCGAACCTAGAAGCGAAAGAAGAGACCATTCAAAACCTCCAGGCCTTGCTAGAGAGTGCGAAGACCGAGGCTCGATCTGTCCTCGAAGAGAAAGAAGAAACCATCAAGAACCTTCAGACAACCCTGAAGGGTGCCCAAGATGACGCTCAATCTATCGCTGAGCAGAAGGAAGAGACCATCCGTGGTCTCCAGGCATCCCTAGAAAGCGCCAAGGCCGAAACCCAGTCTTTGGTCGAAAAGAACGAGGAGACCATACAGAACCTTGAGCTTTCACTGAAGAACGCCAAGGTAGATGCTCAATCTGCCCTCGACAAGAAAGAAGAGACTATACAAAACCTGCAGACCTCTTTGGAAAAGGCCAAGTCTGAGGCTCAATCTGAGCGCGTGATGAAGGACGAGACTGTTCAAAAACTGGAGACCTCACTAGGAAGTGCCAAGGCTGAGGTTCAGACTATTCTAAAGGAGAAAGAAGATGCCATCCAGAGCATTCAGGCCTTGCTTGAGAGTTCTAAGGCTGAGATGCAGTCTGCCGTCGAACAGAAAGAGGAGACCATTCGCAGCCTCGAGACTTCCCTTGCGAGTGCTAAGGCCGATGCTCAAGCTGTTATCGATCAGAAAGAAGACGCCATCCAGAGTCTCCAAAACTCGCTGAAGAGTGCCCAGCTTAAAGCCCAGTCTGACCTGGATGAGAAGGAAGAGACCCTCCAAGACCTTAAGTCTTCACTGGATACTGTGAAGGCCGAAGTTCAGACTATCGTGGAGCAGAAAGAGGAGGAACTCCAGATCCTCCAGACATCACTAGAGAGCGTCAAGTCCGAGCTGAAAACGGTGCGCGCCGAGTCTGAGCGCCTGGCGCAGTCGCTGCGGACGGAGGTGGAGGAGGCGCGGTCTCAGATGGAGCGGGCGCAGAGCGAGCAGCGCACTCAGCACCTGCAGCTGCAGCGCCTGCGGCTGGAGAACCGTCAGCTGGCCGAGCAGCGAGACGGCGCCGACCGGCAGGCCGCCGAGCGGCTGCGCGCAGACCTCGAGGACCAGATCAAGGCCGAGTGCCAGGAGACGTTCAACACCGTCTTCCGCAAGACGCGCGACGAGATGACGGCCAAGGCGGCGTCCGATCTGAAGCGCCAGGCGGCCACCTACGACCGCGAGGTCAGCCGTCTGTCAAGCGAGAATCGCGCGCTCCTCGACAAGATCAAGCAGCTGAGTGGCGTGTCGGACCAGGCTCGCTCCGGGTACGAGAGCCGTATCACGCAGCTGGAGCAGGCGCTGCGGCGCTCCGAGTCGGAACGGAAGACGCTGGACGCGCAGCTGGCCCTGGCCGACCGCCGGCTGCGCGACATGGACCGACGCGGCTCGACGGCCGGCAGTCCGCGCCCGCGCTCCGAGGCGGCGCGCCCGCGCAGCGCGCTGGTGGCCTCCACGTCTGAGGTGCTGCGCCCGACACACGAGGGTATGCCGCCGCCGGACCGGCTGCCCAAGAGCGTCAGTCACGGGGAGGTGTACGCGCGGCCGTCGCTGCCGCCGGGCGCCGGCGCGCTGTTCCCCTGCAATGACGAGGAGCCCGAGATCTTCAGCTCGTCCTACCTCGGCGTGCAGGAAGGTGAGAATGGGTGGTCTCTTTTCCGCTTTGGCGACAAAGCTTACTCTACTTGATGGATTTTAACTTTTCTTAGTGTCACCGTTTCTCTCTTACCTGGTACTGTTCTGATCCAAGTTATATTGCACCAAGATCATTATCAAGCTGATGATAAACTTATTATTTTGATTACGGAGCGAGCGAAGCGAGCGGAGTCTTACGTAGAATAACGGAAATTTCTGAGTATCAGCGGCCGGCCGGCCGGCTGGCCGTGGTCACGATTCTGCGACGCTTATATCTCAGCAACCACTTGACCGATTTACATGCGGTAATTTTTGTAGGGTAGCTTCATTCCTTCTACCAAGTATTGGACTATTCCCGATGCATGTGGGTGACCCCTTATGCACGTGCCACGTGCAAAACGAAGAGGTGTCACTTTTGTAATTGTTGCAATATCTCGGTAACTACTTGGCCGATTGCGCTGAAAGTTGGCATGCAGGTAGGCACCCACTAGGCAATGCATATCCATGTGCCGGAGTTGGGGTGCTGCTGCACGTGCGCACGTGCAGGGGTCGATTCCAGATCTCGAGAACGGCTGGACCGATGGCGCTCAAATTTGGTACACGGCTAGGGACCGGTTAGTAGGGTGCCGTGCACAAGTCAGTTGGGACCCATTTTGCACGTGCGCACGTGCAGGGTGCCGCTTCCAGATCTCGAGAACGGCTGGGTCGATTGTGCTCAAATTTGGCACATCGCTAGAGACCGGTTAGTAGGGTGCCGTGCACAAGTCAGCTGGAGGTACCCCCTCGAAATTTCGCACGTGCAAGTCTCACCCTCTCGCTCGCTCCGTTAGTCGCCCCAAAAGGCGTTATACTGGTAAGAAGATAAATCATCGTTTTTTACAAATTAAATATATTGGACGCATTTTGTATAGTAAGCATGATTCAAATACTGACCAACGACAAATGGCGTCAGTGATGTGCGGCTGGTGATCATAGTGCTGACTGTTTGATAAGAAGGAGCTTGCTGCTTTGACATCAACTAGCGCTCAGTTACCGAGAGACGGTGACAAGGATTCCTTCCACTGACACCGTCCCGTGCCGCGCCAGGACGCTGCGAGGTCGACTACCTGGGTCGGATGAGCGAGCTGCAGCGGCGCAACTCGCTGATGCCGCCCCACCTGCGCTCGTGCTACGCGCCGGAGATCAATGTGCTTGGCCAGGCCTCGGCCACCATGTCGGAGAATGAACTACGGGTGAGTAATGGGACATTCGACGGCTGAGTAGAGGACAGAACACGCAGTTAGTGGTAGATATGTCAGCAGAGCAATAGATGTAGCGCTTGTAGTTGTGGGGCTGCGATATGCTCTACGTTTTTATGTTTTTTTTCGTTTTTGATCATGATATTAGCACTTTTGTTTTGGGGATTTGTTTTGGTTGTAGCGTAGGACTGTTATCTCATTTAGTGTTTAAACTGATGAATTAGTAAAACAGTCTCTATTTATCGACCTTAAGTGCTCTCGTAGAAATTTCCAAATCTGTCTTACGTAGTGAATCGCTGGTCAGCTTCATTCTATCTTTTATCCATCTGCCTGTCTTTCTTTCTCTCTAACTCGTCGTTGTCATGGCGACGGCGGCGCGCGCAGAACGGTGACGACATCTCGCGCCTGAGCGCGCGCACGCGCCGCGTCACTCTGGACTCGCCGGCGGCCAACACGCGCTCGGCCAAACGCAAGTCGGCCGAGAGCGCTGCCGACGTGCTCTCTGACAGCCTGGACAGCAACTCGAGCACGTGCAGCATCAACAGCAAGCGCCGCCGGCGTGATCAGCTGCAGGTACGAGTGTGTGCCGAGGTGACCGGTCGACGGTCTGCCCCTGACTCTGCCGCTCGCCGTTTAGCTCGACGTACGCAATGATTTCGGAGTTTGGACGTTACAAAGACGCGCATAAACAGCATTTCTGGGGGGGGGGGGGCTTGAGAACATAAACGAATTATTATTTATATCGATGTTACTTTTTGCAGCAGTGCAATCACATGATTGCTTCAACTTTAAAAAATTGTCGCTGTAATTTTTCCCTTGTTATTTGCTACCTTTTTGCGATCATTGTATTCATTCCAGTCATACGCCCAGGCACCGCGAGTCTATTTAATTTAAACTTGATAAGGTTTTATTAAAATGAATACTTTTAGCGCGCACTGTTGATCATTTTAACGTGTAGCTATTGTGCAATGTGCATGCGTTCAATTTCGGCAGCTCGGGAACTAACGAATGCACTTGAATTGCTGCGTATGGTCACTGGTCGGTAGCTTAGGACTATTAGCAATGAATTGTATGGCTTTACATCTGTAGGTGAATTCAGGCAAGTTACATCTGTGTTATTCTTTATAAAGCATATATCATATTTTGCTAGCATGCCACATAATTTTTTTGGTTGGCCGTAACAGAAATATATGGCATGTGTGAGAGTGGATAGTATACATATAGTTTTACTAGTTTAAAATGTTCCGACTGGCGGCTAGTTTAAAATTTATGTATTTTGCCACCGCACTTACACAGCGTATGGAAATGTGAAGCAATTTTGTACATCATCTCTTATGTTTGTAAACAGTATAACTCTTAATTTGTAGTGTTAATTGATCTACAGTCTTATTAGTTATATAATCTCGAACGGTAATGTTCCTCGTAGGCGGTCAGTCATGGCATGTTTGCTGCAGTTTTGGCCCTGGTTATTCGCTACGGGAGCCCGCTAACTGACCTCAGGTTGTCCGACCGTCCCCGTTGGGCTGATCTGCTTCTGACCCTTCTGACGACTCGGCGTAGCCGTTCCACCCGACGCCATGCTGTGCCGACTCTCCGCTGACTCCAATGACCCCTGCTAATCCAAGAATCCTCCGTTGATCCAGGATCCCCTGCTGATCCAACAATCCTCCGCCTCCTTACCATCAGCCGCCTCTCCGCCCAGTGACGCTCTGCCCACCGGCCGCTGTGGGTCGGCCCCCGCTGACCCGGCTGGACCGCCGCCCTGTCGCATCAGACGTCGTACGCGCGCCCGAGGCGCGGCAACCTGACCCCGGCCAAAAACATCAAGCCGGCCGACGACGACAGCTTGAGCAGCACGCGCGCCAGCTTGACCAGCCAGGAGCTGCCGGTGGACGTGCCGCCGGCCGCCGAGCCGCCCACGCCGCTGCTGGATGTCGGTCAGCAGCGCAAAAAGGCCAAGACGCCCTCGTTTAAAAAGCTCTTCCGGTCGGCACGAGCAACTAAAGAGAACCACAGAGCCTCAGATAGGGTGAGCGGGAGGGGGTGAGCGGTCTGGGATAGTGAGTGGGGTGAGCAGAGAGTTAGTGAGTGAGTGAGTGAGTGAGTGAGCGTTTTTGGAGGTGAAAAGGTGAGTAACCAGTGAGTTGGTGGGTGAGTGACTGACTGAGTGAATGGCTGCGTAACAGTGAGCCTAGTATGCTCGGTAGTTCGAACTATCACTTAGTGTTGTCTGTCGGTTATTTTTATTTCGCAGTTTCCGTAGCTTTATGATTTTCTGTGTATCTGTTTATGTTGGACCTCTCGTAGTTGTATATTGCTGCGCTCTGAGAGGCGGTGGTCTGTCCCACGCCACAGAGTCGCGACTGACTGCTGTCGCAGGTTTGTAGTCTGTTGTAGTGTCCAGTGCGTCATGTCCAGTCGCTGTCTCAGCCGGGCGCTCCGTCCCGGCTCCGCAGTAACCCGACGGGAGTGGTCATTGGTTACTAACACGGTAACACGGCCGGTGGATGTGTGCTCCACCAACACACCCCGCCACATAACTACTAACGGGGCAGCTACCCGGGAAACTAACCGGAGCGGCTCTAACGCCTGACACGCCTCCACCGCCGGGCGCCATCAGTCTCCGTGACTGACGCTGACTGACGCCGCCACTCCCTCTGGCAGTCCATCGACGGCTCCTACACGTCCATAGGCAGCACGTCGTCGCTGCACGCTTTCAACACGTCCAACGTGTCGCAGAAGGCTGCCAGATCGCGCAGCGTCAAAAATCCCTTCAACTCGTCGCGGATGTATAACGTGCAGGTAAAGGCGAATGAGCGCGCCGGCCTCGGTGGGCACTGGGCAGAAGAGCACTGTGGGAGGGACGCACTGTGGTAGCACCAAGTCAACGCACATCGTAATGCAGCATGCGTATTCACCATAGATGGTTGAGGCTATTGCGGTATTGTAGCTACGCCAGCACTATCACATGTTGCATATTTGGGACGTAGGATACTGCACTGTTGTATGGCTCAGCTATCAGCGCCCATACTTTGGTTCAAAAGGGGTTACGGCAGGGTTTTTACAAGGCGTATGGAGACATAAATCATTGCTTTCTGGGGCTTGATTTCACTTCATTAGAAGTCAACATTGTATCGAGCATTGACACAATGGCGGCTTTTTATGACTATATGAGTTAATTTAATGGGTGGGAAAAGTCGGATGGCACAGCTCACGTCCCCATTCAATAGCACAAACCACACACTTGCATGACGCACTGCTCACTGGCCTGAGTATTGGTGTTATATCTGGTATGCTGGTTAGGGGTCTCTCAGCTTGGTGACTGGCCGGTGGAGGGGGCTGCACTGGCTGCAGCTTATCGTGGCTACAGCTTATCGATGAATTAATTACGATCGTCAAGTTTGAACGACACTCTCTCCCTTGATCCGTCAGTAGTAAAGTGACGATTAGGATTATGCATGGTAAGCGGAGATGGTTGTACTATGCAGTATGCATGTGGTGTTCTTTTGAAGTTGTTTACACAAAATACACATCCGGATCACCTTTTACGTTATTTTTTTTTAATTTTTACACTAGGAAGTGTTAAGTGTTGTTTTTTTTTACCGTTTTTTCCAGGACTTTCCTGTGTCTTATTCCCTTAAAGGGACCCTCCCACCTTAGTTTTAGTTTTGAGCTGAGATAGCCAAAATGGGGTCCCTGGCTTGTACTTACCGGTTTGAGCACTCTTAACATCGAGAAAGGCCTCAAATAGAAAATATCTAATTTCAAAGTTGCAGCACTTTGGATTCAGATGGGCTTATGCATTTGAATGCCCCCTCTGAATGTGTGACGTCAGCACAGATCTAACCATTTTGAATCTTTTACTAAAACGTTTGGTAGCACGCGGTGGTATATGGGAGATCCCAAAAAGTAAACAAAAGTGAAAGTCTAATGTCTTGAAAACCGGGGAATATTTTTCGGGAAATTTGGTAGATATTCGTTTTCGCTCTTTCTGAACCGAGTGACATCACTTTCACGCCAATTCATTAACTTTTTTGAAGGTGGGAGGGTTCCTTAAAGATAAGTCGTGCTCAGTACACGTTCTGTCACGGCGGGTTTTGACGTGTAATGTGCCTTGTGTTTCATGCATCGTAGACCCGGCTGTCCTGCGGACTAACCCTTCCCACTGCGCCCTTAAAACCCAATAAACAAACAACAAACATAACCCCCACTGGCCACCCACTGTGTTCCGTGCCACAAGCTGTGTTAGCTGTACCGCCCCTGCGCCACGCACCAACCCTACTGGCCCGTGTGTGACGTCATGTTCTCTGTTGCAGAACAAGCTACTGCCAAGGAAATGAGACCAGCAGCTTCATAATCATCGTCAATCGTCATTAGTCTTCCGCGGAGCTTTTAGTCACCGTTTTAACTTGTATAGTCACGCCGTAACTTGTATAGTACCGTATTTTACTTTGAAATAAATGCATGCTTAGTCTGTCATGTTTCGCTTGAGAGGGTTTGTGGGGGGGGGGGGGGGAGAATGTAATTTTTGCGATATGCGGCTCACACTGGTCTGCTGCTGATTACGTCAGAAATGTAGTGAAACATTAATACTCGGGTCAACCGAAAGGCACGTTTGTTTGGTCACCGAACATCGTGGTGGGCCGAGAGACATCGATCAATGAGCGGCTGGTACTGGACACAATAAGGCACCGGGCAGGGTACCGGTAGGTACCGGAACACTGCAAGGGCTCCGTCACTATACAATATGGTTGAGGCGGACGAAGGCCGTTTGAAGTCGATTCTTTCCATGCAGCACCCATAGGCATAATGTTAAGGATGTAAAATATTGGGGGGACAAGTCCCCCCCCCCCCCCCCCGGTGGCGGAGCCCATGGAACACTGGTCCAGGACAGTGAACACCGGAGCACTGGGTAGGGTATCAGGATAGAGCGCTGGCCACCGGGCGGGACATTATACCGGAACATTGGGCTGGGTATCAGACCGGGGCACTCGGATACTGGGTGGGGCATCGGACCGGACCGAGCACTGGACACCGGGTAGGGCTACACACACAGCAAAGGCAATGCACTGGAACGGGGGAACGGATCGGAGTAGTCAGTACTTCTCAGCGGGGCGCCGGATAGGACTGGACCGGAGCTTTGTACCGGTGATTGGTGAAGGATATCGGACCGGATATTCGAGTACTGGGCGGGGCGGGTAGGCATCGTAGGCATCGCACTTGCTGATCCAAGGGGAGGCGCTTTCTTCCGACGGCACAGAAACTCGTTCGGGAGCATGTAGTGAAATACGATGAGCTTTCTCTTTTTAACCCTCGCCTGGCCGGGGGTGTTTTTCCCCGGTTGATCAAACACAGCCCCCCACCCCAGCCCGGGCGGTTGGCGCCGAGCACCGGTCGGCTGTCCTACCTTTCGTGATTCGCCAATGATACGGAACCAGAGGATTATCAGCAGTCAACGGACCGCCGGACACCGGGCTTACTGTGGGGGACCGACGCCGCAGCAGAGCAGTGAAACTATCACCCGTGAAAAGGGGCGTGATTACGAGTACTTCAGCCAGCAAAATGTCTGGGCCGTATATGGTTTTACTCTGGCTGGCTCCGGCGCTCTTGTTCCGGCCGAAGTACGGGCAAGGTCTGGAGCTCTACTCGGGCTGACACCCGATATCCCGGAGCTCGCCCGCACCACAGCCGGACTTATGCCGCATCAGCCGTGCCTTACCTCAACCGTACGAGTACTTCAGCCAAAGCAAGCCAGAGCAGCTAGGCGAGGCAGCCGGACATGGCCGTAGCATGCCGTGGCACTTGGCAGGGAGTCGGACTTGGCGGTGGCCGAAACCACTACCAACTCTGGAGCGCTACGGCAAAGACTTTACATAATGGCTAAACGGAATTGAGCCATATCGACCCAAACCCCTGTTCCGACGGCGTTCCGGGCCCAAATCTGGTATGTCTGAGTCGCTGGGGCAAAATGGACTTGATTGAGCCAAGCCAAATTGCTGGCTGGGACAGTGCTCAGAGACTTGTACGCTTATGCACCTAGGGCTATAGCTCCAGGCTATTTAGTCTTTGGGCAGGGGTGTCATTGCCGGGCTACGAACCAGTGGCGGCGCCACGAATTTTCGCCAGTGGGGGCAAGCTTGAGGTGACCCGACTGTTGTCTGATACGCCGATCTGCAAAATCCAATGAGCACCTTGCCCCTAGGTGTTGCCATTCAAAATGATTATGGTTTCAGGTTTCATGCATACCTACGTATTGAGCTTAACCAACCCCTGGCGAATATTTACGATATCTCGTGAACGCTTAGGGATAGAAAGACGAAACTTGCTGTACCCTATCCCCCATTAATTTGACATCTTTTGAAGCAAAACATTTGGACCTAGCCTCCTTGATAACGTCTCAGGGCCGATTTTTCTAGACTCCTGCACGACAAACTTCGACGTCACAGACGTGAACTTCAACCAGCTGCCAAAAAAAAGAGTTTTAGAGATGAAGATAAATTACGAGCACGGTTGTGTAGCATTTGACCTAGACAAAATGCTTAAGTAACTTTGGTGACCTGAGGTCAGAGGTCAGATCAACGACCCCGAGCTGGAGCAGGAGCTTAAGTGTTTTTTTTTTTCGAAAATAACTTCAACAAAAATGGTCATAGAGCTACGGCAGTGCTACCTTCGCATTCGTCTCGTCGAGACGCGTCGAATGACATATATATTAGGTCACGTTTTATGTTGGCCTCATGTGACCTCGAATGACCTATGGTTGACTTTGACACATGAAAGGTCGTTTGTGATGATTTCCTAGCCGCTGATCACGATTGACGTGAGCTGGGATCCATTCCGCTCTAAGCATTCATTTAGAGCCTCAGGATGGCAAAACATGTCTTAATTATTATACCTGACTTGAGTAAGTGAAACATCCTCTAGCAAGGATACTTTCTTGTGACTTTGACCTTGTAGCAGCCATGTAACGTAAGCTAAAGCACAAATAGGTAAAGCACTAAGCTTCAAAACAATTAGTACATCTCGGAATTTAGTATACAAGATATAAGAAAAAGTGCAAAGTTTGTGGTAAATTTTGAGCATGACCGTGACCTTGATTTTGAATGTTATGCACATCGTCGGAATCCCCAGACTCTCTTCTTTCGTTTAACATCCATTTTAGCCGGTTTTGTGCACCATGCCGTCCTCTGAAACACGTACTTTGAGACCAACACAAAAGTGCCGGTTTTTGCCTTTGACCTTGACTTCTGACCTTGAAAATTGACCTGACGCAGTAGCGGCGGAACACCATCAATCAAGACACTGCCGACTTTTGGTCCCATTCTTTCCATGCAACGCCCATAGGGCTAATGTTAAAATGCCAAAATCAAAGGGGGGCACGGTGCCCCGGTGCCCTCCCCGTTCCGCCACTTTTGACCTGGGGTCAAAAGTTTAGATGCTTTAGAATCTTATCGTAGATACCTTTCGTTTTGTACCATTTTTGTTTCCGTAGCTGCCTTATTTACGGTGTTAGACAGGTGGGGGGGGGGGGCTACCCCCGGGCTGCGGTGGTTGGGATTACCCCCCGGGCCCGGCCGGGTTAAGGTCGCGAGCAAATAAAACTATAAAACTAGATTGCGAGACACAAACCTGTGAAAGCGTTTTGTTGTTCGTTGAGATGTAAAATGGTGTATTCCTCAAAACAATAATTAGTACCTAGATCTTTTGTCCCGTAGCACTTATCTGTGCGATTCTTTCACACATGATTGATATACCAGAATAAATTCCATTAGGGCGACTCACATATATTTCCAGATTTCCAGGATATACATACCCTATCGCATTTTGTCATACCTCCCTGAGCTCAGTCTCAGTCTAAGGGTTCCCAAAAGAGGGTGATCTCTTCTCTGGCCGACTTTTGACAAACTGCCTCTCAACCTCCTCGAGGCCAAGCTCGAGGGCAGCCTTCTGGTGAATGAAAATGAGTAGGAGAATGAGTGGGAGTAGGAGATATGCGACAGACGGTCCGAGAACGAACGTTCTGTTGATGCACTTGATACGGGGACCGTCAAAAACAGGCGCACTATCATAACCGCCTATCATGAATGTTGCGCAGGTCTTCTGTTCCCTCTTTAACATCGGCCAAACTTTGTGGGGGCAAAAACATAGTCTTGCCCCCACGGCCTCCTGCCAGTGGGGGCAGTCTGCCCCCACTGCCCCCACGGTGGCGCCGCCCTTGCTACGAACCGCCATTGAGCAGGAATAAGCACGAGGGCTGGAAGAAGGGGTATTCGGCCGCACCCTAGGGCAATGTTTGAAGATAAGGCATCGGTATGGGGACCAAGTCCCTGGGAAAAAGTACGCATCTTCATCCTGATCTTGTGTCCTCCTGATGTTGAAGAGCGAAGGAATGAATGCCATTATTAAAATCTTAATTTAGTGGTCTACTGTCGATAATTATGAAAAAAAAATTATCTAAAAATTGTATGATTTATTTTTGATTCATATGAAATATGTAAGACATGAAATTCAAGCAATTTGCCGGCCAACTACAGAAATATTCTTAAAGAGAGTCTTGAGTGATGTTTTCTGCAAATGGCAACCCTGTCTTCCTTTCGCGTGTGTTTACGGGTGAGTGTGGTTGCATTTCGGACATATTTCGATAATTTGTGTTGTTAGGTGCTCTCTGTGTGGTTTCAGAGTGATTTATCAGCCAGGTTGAATAGTTTCATTGCGGCTTACTGTTATTTTTTATCTTCCAGTGTCACCATGGCGCCCAAAAGGAATAACGTGGTGCCAAACGGGCACTTCCACAAGAAGTGGCAGGAGCACGTTAAGTGCTGGTTCAATCAGCCTGCCCGGAAAATCAGGAGGCATGAGAAGCGTGTCGAGAAGGCCAGGAAAATGGCCCCCAGGCCTGCCAACAAGCTGAAGCCTGTAGTTCGCTGCCCCACATTCCGCTACAACACCAAGCAGAGGACTGGCCGTGGGTTCACTCTGGAGGAGCTGAAGGTATGTTTGTTTATGTGATAGATTTTTCTTCACTTGACTTGCACCATAATTGTTAAGCTGAAATTATTAAGACAAATATTGTACCATAGCCTCAATGTTATTATTTTTATGATTGCTCATTGATGTGCATTGTGCAATGATATTTGCGTGAATGGATTTGTAGAATAAGAGTAAAAGGAAAGAAAACCTTATAAATGCTTGTGAAAAGTGCGGTAAACTGGCCTTAAGAGGATGATGCACACAGACAGTCAAATCTCTCTTTTGCACCCTGGGCTCAAAATTGAATAAAAACCATACCATATTGTCACAAACCATGTATCAACCTAGAAAATTGTTCATACATTAATTCAATGCTAAATATAGGTACAATACAAGCCTAAATAAAAACCTTTTCTAACCTAACCTAACCTTACCTTCTAACCTACCAACCTACAACATAACCTACAACCTACCGGCATTGGTAGAGCAGATGTCACATGAAGGTTT